TAATTTATAAAAGAAACTATTAAAAACTAATTAATAACATTTATTGCTCTGAACAGAGCAAATTTGGAGCAAAATTTTGAGACCTTGTTTGTTTAAAAATACTAATTAGATCAAAAGTTCTGGACGTTTTTCGTAAAGAATCGTTTTTTGGATTTTTTAAAAAAAGTAAAAGGGAGCAATTTTTGATATTTATCAATATGAACGGAGAATATCGATACATATGTATGTATGCCCGTAGGCTTAAGCCTGATGTACATGAAATACATACTCCTGCACACTGGACGCGGAAATGCTTGCCGCGCGACAAAATGTGACGCGGTAACCAATAAACTTATGGTTGCGTTCCGATATTCACTGCCAGTGCTGAAAATCTATAGTGCACGTAACGTATATTATAGATTTTCAGTACTTGCAGTGAATATCGGAACACAGCCTATAGCTTCTAAAGAAAAATGACATATCTATTGGCTATCAATTTGCCGCGCGGCAAGCATTTCCGCGTCCAGTGTGCAGGAGCCCTATGTATTTCATGTACATCAGGCTTAAGCCTACGGGCATACATACATATGTATCGATATACCATTTAGTGCTCTTTCATTGGTTGGGTTTACGGGCCAATAAATGCAGAGCGCAAGCAACAGCGCGCAACATCGTCGCACCGCCACAGGCACGCTCAATAAACGGCGCTAGTGTCTGTCAAGTGTCACAGCCGTTCTCGTCGGCCGACAGTGTTGCGAGACTCGAATCGGTGATTTAATTAGGAATAACGTACTTCTTTTTTTTAGTAAAATTGTGAAACTTTAAGCAATAATGACCGACAAAAAAGGTAACTATATGCCGTAATCATCGCGCGTTACCACTTAGTTGCGTGTAATGTACATTGACAAGAAGGGAATATACACGCACCCACACAGACATACGTATAGACGCGCGTTCACACACGTACACGACCCATACGCGACACTCGCCGCGTACATACATAACATGTACACACATACAAATTTGTTCGTGAGATAAGCCGTACCTTACCACTTGTCACTTGGCGCGACGACCGGTCGTTGCCTGAGGCGACATCGTCGACGCGACTCCTGGTGCGGACGGCCTACGACGCGACTTGGCGTCACTTGCCCTTTGCGTGTTGGGCTCCGGGCGCCGGCACGGATCGCTCGAATACCCTCGCCCGGGTTGACAGGACAAATCAATACCGCGCATCGCGCTGGGAATACAAAATGGCCTCCGGAGAGCTGTTCATTCTCTTTCTTACGAAAGAGGGAGAGACAGAGGAAAAAAAAGAATGAAACTTCTCATATTTACGCCCCGAATTATTTTCACGAATTCTCATCTCAGATCTTTTTCGTAAATCTTCAGATTTTTATTGTATTCCTTAGGCAATACTTAAAATTTTTTAATTCTAATTTTCGTGTTTTCAAATTTCTCAAATTCTTTATATGCGTATTCTTGACTCATCTTACGGAAATTTTCGATTCTTGTACACCTGCATTTTCTCGATATTCTCAAGCTACTTGGATTCTCAAATTTGTGAATCTGTATGTCTGAATTCACAGTTTTTCATAAATGACTTGTTTTTTTGCACTCTCAAATTCTTGGAATCCTAGTTATTCATTCTTGTATTTTTAATGAGACATTTGTTTCAAATATATTTCTTTATCTACTTTTATCTGTTACAATTTATTCTGAAAATTTCTTAAACTCTGCTGCTTGAATTATAATTATATTTTTTGTAAAACATTTTAATTTCTGATGATAGAACATTGCATATTAAAATAAAGTACACCATGAATTTTTAGAAACAAATTGTCAAATTGATAGGTTTTTTACTTTTTTTGTTTAATATATATTCAATATGATCTGATTTTATATAACATATTATATACACCAATAGCCAAATCTGCCAAGAGCATGTATTGCAAATTATGTGCTGCATATCCTGTTAATAGAACTCGGCAGCAGTCGAGCACAGTCTGCTATTTTTCTAATATCGTCAGAAATGAATCGGAAAACGAGCAAACCGTGCATTATGACATCACGATGACAAAGTATGCTCCATTTCTGCTGCATTTCTGTTATATTACACTGACAAGATGGTAATGGCAGAAACCAAGCTTAAAGAAGACAGTGGATAGGAATCTGTATTGTACGTAAAATTATGATTCAATTTCCTGACATACTGTTGGCATACTGCTAGAATTTTGCTATCTGGGACATGCATATATTTGCCATGTATACAATACAAACTATATTAGTATATTTTAGATTATTTTAACAATGAGACCATTGTCAAACTGCAGTCAAGCTATTGCATACTTTTTTGTAAATATGCATATGTATAACGTATATACACATATACGTATACATCAAGAATCAAAACACAAGTTTTAAATTAAGTTATTCAACAAAGATTCCAAGGATACAAATCTTATCTTTTTTGTTTCATGGTTTACATCTGATAAAATGGAGCTCCGGAAGTCATTCCTTTGTATTACTCAGTCATTTTCTTACAGATGTAGCGGCTGGTTACAAAAAAGTGAGAATGCGCAAACGCCGTGTATGAAGTGTATGATTTAAAGGACCCGTAGAGCTTAAGAGTGTCAGAATTTGCCAAATAGTCCCGTTGTCAATAACTGATCGAATAGACACTGGGATCGAGGTGACCGTGTTCACGTGTGAGCGTCTGTTCGTTTGCTCAAGCCGTTCCAGACGTTCCGGATACTGTGTTTTTTATTCCTCTCGCACAACGAAACGCGATCTGTGACACTCCTGGAATAGCTTCGGCAAAGATTACTTTCTCATGTAAGCGCCGTAAGAACGGTATACCTCGACGGTGTGACATTTCATTACCGAGTCTGGTCACTGTCCCCGAAAGCAGGTGCTGTGCTCCTATATAGAGCGCAGTATCGTAAGGATATGGATACGTATAAAAAACTTTAGCCTGTAAGTGGAGAGAGAATTAACACGTGTTTTCCTTACCATAATGATAATTATTGGTAATGTGAAGATAACATTATATACTGCTGCGAGTCTGCTACCGTTTATATCTATGGCGGTGTAGCAGCTGAGCGGAGGGATAGTGCCTACAGTTTGGCTGTCAATATGTTTGCAGCGGACCATTACAAAGACGATTTGATCCCAGTCAGTAGGTGGAGCTCCGGAGACCGGCGCAGCCTAAGCCACGTATCTAACCTCACCTTACTCTATATATTACCTTAACTCACTACGTGTTTATATACCAACATATATTACGTATACACACACATAAATATATATATTATATATAAATATGTATACCACCTGTTATGTTGAGGTTAACGTTAAGATATTGATTGCTTTTAACTGTCGTTTATGGTGCGACTTTTGCCTCATAACAAGAATAACGACATCTTCGTAAGGACCAAATGATGCGGCGACATATTGCTTCATACATTTCTGTGGAGAAGCTATCCTATTTATCTTTGCATCGAAATAGTTTTTTTTTTTTTTTTTAACGAGCGGTATCTTGTACCGCAAAGCATTGCATTGCTTCGAAAAGCGAAAAGATCTGACCTTTACGTTTTCAGATCTTTGAAAATTCTTGTCGCTAAATCTGATAGTTCTATTTTTCTTCCAGAATATTTAGAAGCAATCGCTTATCTTCCGTCAGCCTCAACGTACATAAAGATATAGAATGCACCAGGCGTCTTCCGATTTAGAACAGAAAATGCCCTGCGTTTAAATCGCGGATTACGTGACTTCCGATGCGTCCACGTTTATACTCTCTGAAGTTCGTCGCTTCGAAAGTCCCGAGGATAGATTCGCGAATTTTTTGAATCATTCGGGGATTCCCCAGCGATCGATACAATCATGATCTGGCGACTGTCTTTGCAGTTTTCCATTCCAAGAAACGCAACGAGATGAAAAGCGGACAAAGTGCACTTTTGTGCGAGAGATACTTGCTCTAAGAATTTGACGAGAAAGAGCACGCGCACGGAATTCAAATCCAATTTCCACTCGTGGCCGTGGACGTCACGTGACGCATTCGCGCTATTCGGCCGGGCGCTTTTGGAAATCGGAGGCGCGGGTCGCTATAGGTATATCCAAATCAATATGGCCGTAAGATATTGATATGGGTGTATCAATATTTCGTACTGGAATTTCGTGATACTGGCTGACTGCTTTATTCTTTTACTCTTTTACTTTTCCTTTTTTTCTTCATTATTCTATGCCCGACGTGTCCGCGTGCATTCGCGTGCATTTGTTATTCTTTCGTGTAATCGCAAGATTTTTTATAATCATCCACAACGTGATTCTATTGTGTGTAACGGAACGTTTATCGGTTTAATATTATTGCGTTACATCTTATTATTGAATCTTATTACAATTTTTTTATTGGATCGAGTCAATTGAAATGAAAGTTCTGAAAATTTTATATCTTAAATTATTGATCTGTAAATTTTTTATTTTGCATCAAATTTAATTATTAATGACATTAATTCTAATCTCTTTTTGATTTATTTGATTATATTTGAAGTTAACGCAGAGCATTAAGCAATTAGACGTCTGTTTAAATTATTAATTTATCCAAGTTGAGTTCTTACAGAATAATAAAATAACTTGCAAATTGAGCGCGCGCGCGTGCACGGCGGGCTTTGCGAGTGTACACGAATGCTGTATCTAAGCTCGGCGTATACTTTTATCCTCTTAGGAATTTGCTAGCTCACTTTTAACAAATAGTGCATGCGTTGCTTTGAAACCGCGCCACAAGTTTTCTCTGAATATAAACGGTATAACGTTATAAAGAACCGTAAAGTGCCAAAATTCGAGGGAGACTCGAGGCGGAAAGAGCGCGAGACTAATCGACTATTTGAAAATTATTTGGAAACTTGTGGTAGCGGCTGCATGTCATAGACACGTATATAGATATCAGATATAGATATATTTTGACTTTCTTCCTCGATGATAGCGTAAAACTTTAGATTGGTTTCTTCGGTAGCTTGAAAGTAGTCTTTGACTTTGAAAATTATAGCGAGAGAAGCGGTGAATCACGAAACGTAATCTCACGCCTACCGTCGCGCTGCAAGCTCGCGTAGCTGGCTACAGGACAAAGAGAAAAAGAGAAAGAGAGAGAGGGAGATAAGCAGCCGTGCGGCGGGAAAATTCAAAGTGATATTGCGTTCCACTTTTAGCATCCCTCAGTAGACCTCCGTGCAAGTATAAGCTTCGATCTTTCTACGAGTTGTTTACCTCGTATCGCTAGCATGCTCAAAAGAACGTTTTTTCTTCGACGGTGGGGAAAGCGCGATCGCCCGCATCCTCGAGAGAAGAGGATTGGGGAGCAAGGAAGGGAAGGGAGGAGGAAGGAGAATTGAAGGGAGAGGCGATCGTGTACCTCGCTGTCGTTATTTCTATAATCGTGCATGTTTTTTTTCCTTTCGATATGCTGTTTTTTATCGGTTCTCACAATTTCGCTTTGGACATTGTTACCTCATCCACGTTCGATCCTCCCGCTCGAGGCGCATTCGTCGCTTTGTCGGCGAGGGCGGATCGAGCGGGCTGGTGTCATTATTTTTGAATTGTCGTATTGTTGTGTGATCACCGTAGTTCCGTAGATATCTCGGTGTCGCCTCGGAAGACTCGCTCGCGTTCCAGTCGGTGCGGTTCGATTCCTTTTGTTTTTTTTTCACATACCGTCGCGAAAACTCATTGTATTTTATGTTACAACGTTCGCGCGTGTACGTTTGTTTTTTTTATTCGTTTATCGTTTTTCGTTTCTAGATTGAGCCACCAGTTGATCGCGGCGAGGTCTCCCAGCGTCGTGATCACTGCATGCGCATGATTTGATAGGAATTTGTAATTGTGTACACTGTTAATAGTGAGCTTAAGCGAAATAGCATTCGTTGATACGCTGATCGATACCGGACGAGAGCGTTCTCGTAGACGAGAATCCAGGGATTATCGGAAGCGAAAGGACACATCTTGAGGAAACACGAAGATTTACCTCTTCCTTGTATCTGTTTCTCGCATAACTCCAAAGAGAGAGTTCTTAATCTTGAAGTATCTTTTGTTAATTTTTATACGTTTTTCTATACGTTTAAATGGAGATTTTTAAGAAACAGATATATCCTTTCTTCTTTCTTTTTATTATATTATATTGGAGCTACGAAGATGCTTTGTAGCTCCAATCATAGATCTTTTAATTTTTTATTTCACGGATCGATTTATACAGAATTTCCAACATCCACATTTCCCATTTCAGCACATCTCTGTCACGCTTCCGATGACTCTGCTCGTCTCGAGAACACGTCTTGTCGTCCACGGAAGCATTTCGATAAATCGCCGTCCGGCAAAAATAAAAAAAACGAAGTCTTGAATGTTCTTTGCTAGTCGTTTAATGTGGGTCGGCGAAAACAGAGATAATTTAAAAAAAAAAGAAAGTGAAATGAGAGAGTAGAATATCTGGCTCTGAATAGTGTCGAACTGCTCATTGGGACCAATCAAAGAAATGAAAGAGAAAGAGAGTGTGCGTGTGTGTGGGAGAGAGAAAGAAAAGAGCGATAGACACTTTTATCATTAAGCCGTACTAGCATTAATATTACAATCGGTTGTGACTGATTCGATGATTGTTTGCACCGTGACACATAGACACTTAAATTGTTATTTCTCGGAGGTTGCACGAATGTGTGCGGATGGACCAGCGTCCAGTACGTGAAAAGATTCTTAAACAAATTGTTCTTATGCAAGATGGTTTGTTTTGAAATTTTCATCTAAGTCGTCGACAGAGTAAAACAATAGAAAGTTAACGTGATTATTATCGCATTCTTTAACTTCGATGATTTATAATTTTAATGCGAGCATCAGGAATCACCGAAAATTGTGATCTACGAAATTCTTGCGACTGTTCTTCATTGTCTGTGGATTTATTTTTCTGCCTATTTGAAGTCTTGGATTTCCAAGTCTTTGAGTTTTTGGATTTTCCATCTTCGAATTTCCGGGTGTCTTCCTGAAATCTTTTATATTTAAATTTTACTCGGTTCTTTTTTTTATTTCATTTTTTATTTATTTATGAATTATAATTCATTTTCTCATATTTCCAAATTTCTCGAAATTTTGCTGAAGTTAAGCTAACACTAGTATTTGTAAATATATATCGAAAGTAAAATGCTTGCACCACCTGTCTCTCGTGAGATCGCGCGTCAGAGATAGTCGTGCGAAAAGCTGCGTTGGATCGCTCGTCTCCGCCAGTTCGATCAGCCTTTGATCATATCATGAACAATTTGGTATGGGCTGACATTTATGTTAGAGTACAACATGTCTATGCAGCACCAGCGCAATCGCGCGCACGACGTCCGGAGGACAGAAAATCCTCAGTTTTTTTTTTATATTCGCTTCTTTAAAAGAGCTTTCAGCTTAATTTGTACTTTTAAAATATTTTTCCGACCTCTATTTGAAACGATTTGATTTCGATGAATATCTTACGAGAATAATTCTTTGATAAAATTCAAGAAAACAAAATTACAAAGAATAATAGAAAAATCAGAGGAAATAAAAATTTCTTCATAATTTAGTCCAAATTTATATATGTACGTCCTTTGCACATTTTTTTTAAATATATGTATATATTTTTTTTCTCTCCCCAAGACGTCGCATCTCATCATATTGACGCGAAAGCATTCAGAAGGATAATTGGCCTCCCGACGGCGGCAGTGCGTGGCGCATGGCGCGGTTTAGATAATTAAAAGGATTAGAGAAAGAATAGGCGGCCGAACGTCTCGCGGCGTCGCGACGCGGCCGGTCGCCAACGTTACTTACTTATATTACACACGATTCCGAGGAACTTTTAATCATGTTTAACCTTTATCTCTGGATATTTGCAGAAATTTGTGGTTTGCTGAGTCTTGTCACGACTTTTTGAATGTGTGGAGCCCGATATGCATACATAGTCCACCGCTATATATGCATATATAAATATATATATATATATATATATACATAATCATCGTACCACTATACTCATTGTATAAATTACACATTCACCGCCCAAAAAAAAAGAAAAGAGAAAGAGAGAGCTATATAGAGACTCTTCTTCTCGGCTCTATTTGTGAAATCGCATCTCGTCATCGCTGGCGATGACGAGAACGGCGATGACGACGAGAACGATGACACGATGATAATGATGATAATGATGATGTTAAGACGGACTGCCATTTTTCATATTTCGCGAGTCCTTCGATTACTTGGGCTTGTTTTAACATCACTTTTTGGAGCAACCGTTATCCTTCTTACCTCCTGGCTTTATTTTAGCTCTGTTTTTGTCGTTTTTCTGTTTTTTGAACGCGGCCGAGCCTCAGGATTAATCGATTTGCATTTAGATTGATCTTTAACCCGTTACGTCCAAAGACTACATTCTTCAGAAAAATTGCTGCAAATTGATAAATCTAATGTGAACGTAAAGATATAGTTAAAAAAGTAGACTGGAGTATAACGGGTTAATCATTGATGAAATGGAACGAACTGATGGATTATTAATGTCTTGGATAATTGCAGAATGCGATCGAACACTTTCAAGAATGCTAAAGAGTGGTATCTAAAAGAATCATAATTTTGATATAAATTCCAAGTTTTGCGAGTTCTTCTCGTGTATCTAAAAGATGAGCTTTTAAGTTAAGATAATTAGGATTAAAGCTCGCCGAGCGTTTCAAGTAATAGAACTTTCAGCAATGAAATTTAAATTGTGAAACTTGCGAATACATGCAATCATTTCAAACTTTATGCGATTGAGTTTCAAGCACTCTAAATAAGATATATTAATCGAAATAGCACTGCTTTACCTTTGTATGGATTTAAAGAACGTCTCCTTGTTGCAAAAATCCAAAATGTTAATAATTTATTTTGAAGATTGCACATACTTAAACGGATGTTTGTTGACGCCTTACTTACGTGGATCCTTCAGGCTCGACCTCTTAGACGAATGTATTTGGCTTCTACCTTGATTGCGTAACGCTATTTGCTTTGAGATCGGTTTCGTATTAAATCTTAGTTCTAGAAGTAAAGGTTGCTCAATGACGAATCATTGTTCGAGAATAACCGAACTGAATTTTTTTCTGCAAGAATACAGGAACTTAAACTTTGACTGACAAAAATTCAGAAATTTAAATTTATTAAAAGGAACATTCAAATTTATTAAAGTTTCGATACATGTACGAATTCTTCCTATTCGGGAAGATTTATTTATATATCGAATTATTCTCGAGTGCGATTCGTTTTAACTCCTTGATCGTGGATCCATTTGTGTGGATGATCTATTAGCGTCTCGATGGATCCTCGAATGGGTATGGTCCAAGGTGGTCAACCTCTCGGTAAGGAAAAGGACACTCCGAAAATCTAAAGCAATTAAAATTGAAATTGTCCTAACAGATATTAATTGATAAAGACTCTGGGTTTTTCCACTTTCTTTAATTTTATCTATATCAATAAATACTTGTAAATTCACGTTCTATATGTCAGTTTCACTAAAAATGTAAATGTTTTATCTCTTGTTTATTTAAAAAACCGTTCGGGTTATACTACGGAAATTTTCTTTTGTTTAACATTCTTTTATTTTTATTTGTATTTATGAAAAAGGATTTACATTTTCAAAAATTTTATATTTGAAAACAAATTATCTAAATACATGCCAAAATAGTAGGCCAAAATAATTGGGAAGCAATGTCAGTCGCATGTGTGGATAAGTAACACCAAAAGAAATAAATGCGACGACCGAGTAGATGTCCTTCGGGGTTGAGAGGAGTGGTTGGTCACCTTGTAAATGTTTTTTATAAAGAAGCCCGTCTGCGCCCCGGCAGTTTACGCCGGGCGAAATAAAGCTCAAAGAAAGGCCCCGGGAGCGACAGGCGGGCGTGATATCTTCGGTTATTTCTTTTCACCATTATTTAGTGACTAACATTGTTTGAGCTTTGAATAGTATCTTGATCAAAACGGTGTATGTCATGTGTAAGATATACTTGGGTGTGGGAGTACCACTCTGGAGATCGGCGGCGCATTGGACTATCTCGATGTGGCGGGAACACGCCTTTCGTATTATTCTTGGGCGCACTCCTCAGAAGCGAAAATTATATCTCGTTGCTATTAATTCTGGAAGAAATACTTTGAATTAACGACATCGAAGCGGTTATACCAATGCTATTTGTAATAACAGTTTGAACTGAAAGTGATTTTCAAATCACATTCGTTTGTAAACGAAATGTGAATTGAAAATCAATCCTCAAAACCACTGTCTTGAAATAGTTTTCTTGTATATTTTTTCTTGTAAATTATTTATTTTATCCTACAAATGATCGCTTGAACACATATGTATATCTTAATTAATATCTAAATTTTAAATTGCTAAATTGATTTTGGCCTTTAGTGATTTGTGCTATCGTAAACTGTTCATATGAATTATCGAGAAATAAAAAATGCCAAAAGAATGTGAATAATTGAAAATTGAATATTTACTGAGATCGCTTCAAGCAGTTACAGATAGGTGAAGAAACGAGGAATAGATGAAGATCAAAGTAATATAATATATCAAAACTTCGAATTCGTTTTCGGACCGCTTCGAGTCGTTGATCTTGAGACACTGAAAATCGGATACCAGCCCGGAACCACAACGGGGAAGAGGATCCAGTCACGCCCCCGATCTCGACGACGCGCTCTACGCGTGCTCGACGCGGACAGCGTTTACGATCTGCCATAGATTATGCGCGGATTCTTTTCTTCCGTGCCGCGTCGTGAACGCGGATGGGGTGCGCCGGCACTCGTCCTTTCTGGCAGTGTGGTACCACGTACCATGTTGGCTTAGATCAAACACACACACACACGCCATTCGCGACCTGCGAATTCAGGTGGAGCTGCATTACGCATTGCCTTATGTTACAGCGTATCCGGTGGCGCCGCATCCACCGACTGGCTTTGTCCCCGCGCCGACGCAACCCCCAACCTACGGTGGTAAGCTGCGACCTTTGATACGAATCACTTCTCTTAGCATAATCTTCTCGTTATAAGTGGAGAACGCGTGAACGTGCGCGTTCGCGGACCGTTCGGATTTTATCTCGTTCTTTGCCGATTGTTTGAACATCCCGTTTATTTATGTTATCTGTAAGAAAAATGCAGTATGAGATACATCCAGAAAGTAAGCACCGGTACTCAAAGTATCGAAATGGTTGCGAATGAGAGAAGTGTTTTGAAACAAGCTTTTACATGTTTCTTGTTTGCTTACTTTTTAAAATAATTGCCTTTTAAATTGAAGGATCTTTCGCATCATGAATTTCGTCTCTCAAATAAAATGACTCAAATTGCTAAAACAAAAGACTCTTGAACAAGCTGAAAGAGTGAATTTGTGGGAAGTGAATAGATGCAATCAGAAACTTGTGCAAAATAAGTAGACGAGTAGTCAGAATTGATCGTATTTATTTGTAATTTTTATGACTTCTTTTCTTTTTGCTCTTGATTTCTTTTGATCATCCATTGTTGACTTACAATTAGCCTAAATATATTTACTGAGTTCTTATATTTTCTATGTTTATTTATTTATCAATTTCTACATATATTAAATTTTTTACATTTCTTAATGTATTCATCTTTTTCATTATACTAATTGTTTTAATTTTATCGTCTGAAGAAGAATGTGAGTTGAGAAACTGTTCTAACTCTAAATGTTATTATTTTATTATTATTCTTTGAAATAAATGTCCTAATTGTTTATCTTTCACTTATACTCTTTTTTTATTCGTTAGCTTTTTTATTCTTGAATTATTGTTTTGTAAAAACGAGTCTTATAATAATAATAACTTTATTGAGTACATATACTTACAAAATAATGCAATTTATTGACGGAAAATAAGAATGCACCGCAATTGGTGAGACGACAACAATATACTATTCCAAAGCTAAAGATTAAAGAAATAAAAAATAAACTACATAAAAGATATAATAACGAACATTATATTTAGAATTAATAATATATTAATTACATTATATTTAAATTAATAATTTTCTTAATTTTTCTCTTTATTTATCTTGAGCATATAAAAAATAATGGACTTTATTTTTTCTTTAATCCACCCCACCGATTATTTATTTCTTCCAAAATTTAATATCAGATATGATTTCACCAAATTCAATTTTCAACATTGAAAGTATGTGAAAAAGAACTGTATTATAAGGCAAACATCGCGTTTTATTTAATTCGAAAATAATTGCCTTTTTTACGTAAATAATTATCTAAAAAGAGAAAGGAAATTCAAGTGTTTTTGATTTTGATAATTTTTAATTATAATAAAAACTTTAATTATAAAAAATTTTTTAAAATTATTTTTTATATATTCCCCTACTTAACATTTTTTCAAAATGTCAATTTTTAAAAATTAGTATAATTACAAAGCCTCTTTAAGCCATTAAACTTTCGTTGTAATAAGTTTTTTTTCTATTTGCTATGGTTCCAATGATATTCGTTTCGAAAGAAAAATTTTTAAATTTTTAATTAGTAAAAAATATCTACTATTGTGACTGAGCTTTAAATTTCTTGCTGTTTGGGTATAAAACCATCTCAAACTCCGGGTTATAAACATAAGAATCATAATCTCATCTACATCTAATATCTAAATATGAATTCGGCGAAGTTTTAGCAGTTATTAATTATTGTTAGTAATTAATTATTGATTTCCTTATTCATTACATTTTTCACTATAAATTTCTGATACTTGAAAATTGATGGTCATATGTTACGTCATATGTTACGATTAGGATTTTTAATTATTTTATCCGTTTTAACTTTACGGCAATCTTAGAACGAAAACAACGTCAATTTAGTATCCTGTATTTTCTCTGCAATGAAACGTCTTACTACAAATATCTTCGTTTATAAATTTTTCGTAAGAACTTTATAAGAAAAAAAAAAGAAGTTTGTAGCAATGATACGATTTAATCAATGAGTTATTACTGTATCTGAACTGAACGATTCCACATGAATCCTTAACTTCCCGTGGGTTGCATGGAAGTTCGAACTAACTTGATATCTTCAGCGCGAAATGAGATCTATAATTGTATGGTTGCATATAGTTGTATTCCGTACGGTTGCCAATTTTACCAACTTTTTGTAATTAGGCATTTCATAAAAAAAAAAGAATTCACTAAATTTTTGCGATAGACTATTGAACTGTATATATATATATACATATATATATATACTGAAAGTTTTTTTTATATGTGATCGAACTATCAAGATAGTTATATTTGGAAATTTCTCAATACGTCTTTTTTGCGATTTGTGAAAGGGAGATGATGTTTTCCCCTTTTAATAATTGTTAAATTCCCCTTTTTTAAAATAATGACTGCATGACATCATTGGAATTATTATAAGAAAGTAGTGTTATAGAAAAGTCTCATTCCAATGTGTATATAATTTAATAACATAGGCATAATGATAAAGTTTTGAGAACTCATGTTTATCACTTTCGTAATTAATATGCACAATCAATACTTGTTTTCTGAATGTATCTCGTATATTATATAAAAAGAACACAATACGTAACACATATGTGTTATTATAGTATTTGAAGTATTATAGTATTATAATATTTGAGATAGTGGAAGTTTACTTTGAATTCTAATATCATTGTTTGCTCTTAAAAAATCGCAAATCGCTTTTCTATTTTAACCCTTTGTGTCATGAATTTTTGTATTAAATCGATTTTTTGAAACTTTGAACCCGGCGATATTTCGGGCCGCTGATTACGAATCAGAAGTTAAAATTTTAAAATTCAAAATTTTTTGGTTTTGATCCATCTTATCGATTTCGCTATTTTGGATTTAATTTGGTAATTTTGATCTTAGATTAGAATTCAGAAAATCCCTAGAACATCATTATAAGAGATATTCAAACTATTTATTTGAACTTACAGTAAAAAATACCGATTTTTTAAAGATAATTATTAATTTATAAATTATAATAAAAAAAAACGAGCAAAAAACTGAAAAAATTCTGAAAAATACTTTAAGATATTTTAAATAAATAAGTGCTTAAATTGTCGTTTTAATATTGATAATAGTTTAGAAAATGCGTTTTTTTTCAAATTTTGATTATTTGTTTACTTATAGAAATTACGAAAATAAAAATTTATGGTTGTCTACTTTTTTCAACACTAGCACTACAAACGCGCGCTTCGCGCGCGCTATTTAACAGTTCTTATTATAATTTACAATTACATCAACCTTAATACACACAACTGTCAAAATGCAATCGAATCTTCGAAGTTAACTCCGAACTTCAAAATTTAAGGTATCTTCGAAGCTTTCAAAAATATATTTATATGTACTATTATTATTATTATTATTATTATTATTATTATTATTATTAGCTATGTAAAATTAATTAATAATTATATAATTCTGATTCTTTGAAGTATTGAAATTTCGAAGCTTTAAAGATTCAAAGCTTTAAAATTTCGATTTTCGGAGATTTTAATTGTAAAACGTCAAAGCTTCAAAGTTTAAATATCGAAGCCTTCGAAGTAAATTATCAACCCTACTATTTAGAGCCGAAATTTCCTATATTATTGTTTTTCTATTTCCTATTCTTAATATTCTAAATTTCTGTATCTTTGATATTTGCTCTTACACTACTTCATATTTGTTATGTGATCACGTAATTATGTAATGATAGATAAAATAAGAAAAAATAGTGATAGGTATAGTGATATGCGAGGGATCAACCACAATGGGAATCGGTGTATATTTTTTTTAGGAATATATTGCTAGTATTGCGGCAATACAATATTAGCAATACGCTAATAGCAATAAAGTGTATTGTATTGCCATAATTGGCAATCACTGTACATTTTTTTTAGTAGTGGTTGACCTCTCGGTGATATAAATTGTAATCAATGATATGATGAAGATATGTGCATTTTTATTTTAATTTGAATTTGTCATTATTCTTTGCTCTGAAAAGTCACAAATCTCTTTTATTTTGGAACAATAATGTATATTACTCTACCTACAGTCGAACTTCCCTATTTGTCTTTTTTATGCTTAATGTGATAAACCATCGTATTCTTGATATTTTCTTTTCTCTTACTAATTCATATAGATCACGTAATCATTATGATTAAAATAGCAAAAAATAAAAGATATAGTGATATCATGAACCCTAACTATAGCTCTATATACAGGATGATCCAGGTCACTTTCAGGAGTCGGCATCTACGTATTCCTCTGAGTCGAAAATGTTAATAGCAAAATGTTGAGGTGTCAATGATTTTTGAATAGTGAGCTGTTGAAACTGTCCAACCATAGGGCATTAAGAGCGCGCCATCAGGTACGGCGCATTAGATTGACGATCGACTGGCGCGCGACGGGTATCGCTAAACGGCACGGTGCCAAACGAGTACTGCAAAGGTTCGATAAAATCTCTATTAAAATTTATTGCTCTTATTCTTAATTTGAGTTTAATTTAATTGTAGAGAAGTTAATCGCAAATTCAACATCATTTATATCAGTAGAATAAGTATGAGCTTTTAAAATACATTTTATGTATTTTAAAACGATTAAATGAATTAATTAATTAAATTTAGAAACGAATAAATTAATAAACTAAGTAATAATTATCGCGCCGGCCGATCGTAGATTTAATGCGCCGCACCCGACGGCGCGCTCTTAATGCCCTATGGTTGGACAGTTTCAACAGCTCACTATTCAAAAACCATTGACACCTCAACATTTTGCTATTAACATTTTCGATTCAATTTTTCATGAGGAATGCGGTATGAGGAATGAGGAATGAGGTAGATGCCGGCTCCTGCGGGTGACCTGGATCACTCTGTATATGAAAACATGTGAATCCTACTTTATCTTACAATTAGTAAAGTAACATATTCTACGCGCGTGTATGTGCTGCCATTAAGTGGGGTTAAACAAAATGCTAAAAAGAGAAATTTTATTTGATCTTAATAAATTAATAAAAGAGAGGTTTGGATTAACATCTATTCCAAATGTATTATACTTTATATCAGCTATCGCAGGATTCTGATAATATTCATCGACAGTTGCAGGCGCTGCCCCTTATGGAGTATTTCCCAATCAACCTCAATTGTACACGCAAGGCCCACCGCCGCCGACGTACGATCAGACTCTTACGCATCCCATGGTGAGTTATCCGTACATATTACGTTTTTCTTAAAAGAGGCCACCAAATTTCATCGATAAATATCGATTTTCGTTTAGATGTATCAACCAATGTACGCTGGGCAATACCCTTTGCAATATTACCCACCGGGATATCCCTTGCAATATTATCCGCCATTAGCTGCGACAACGGCGTATTATCCCGCCGCTATGCAACCCGCCCCTGTAAGACCTACCATTATGGTACCTGTAAGTATTATGTATTTTTTTTTAATTATTTGTGTGCGAATTTTGAAGAATGTGTCATTCAAAATTCAGGCGCAAGCCTGAATTCTTTTTAAATACATATATACATATATATTACATGTATACATATACACATATACGGGTGGGCAGGTAGAGTGGGCTAAACTGAGTCGAAAAATCCTCTACCATTTTGTGATCTTTGCAATAGTTATCGATTATACTAATCACTAAAAAAAAAATTTATGTCAAGTAATAAAAAAGTATAAATAAACCGCACGTTACATCTTTCCTAAACCAAAAATATTATTTTAACAAATAAAAGTTGTTCAAAAACAAATATGAAATCATAAAAATTGCCAAGTATTATATTAGACATAGAGACAAAAATATTTTAATTCCAAACTAAAAATATTTTTTTCATAAACCGTTTAAACCATCCAAAAATACATGCAGCAAAAGTTTAGTGCCATTGTCTTTCCAAATAATTTTAAGTTTTATAAAACAGGCAGCTTAAAGTGATTAAAATGACTAATGGTACAGGAAAGATGTGATGTACTACGATACTTTTTTTATGTACTTGGCATAAATTTCTTTTTTTAATGATTAGTCTCGATAACTATTGCAAAGATCGCAAAATGGTAGAGGACTTTTCGATTCAGTTTATCTCACTCTACCTGCCCACAAGCGCTTTATCATTGAGTACCGGATACCCTATATATACACATATACACACATATCATTGAATACGACTTGTAGAAATCAATAAGTCAGTTATATTAAAATACATAGTTGTTTATATCTCTCTTTTAATATCTCAGAAACGATTGAGATTTCGACTATTTTTAAGGCGGTGCTGGCAGGTCGGCCGAACTTACACGAAGTCGATAAACATACTTTTCAATATTTAAATGGTATTTTTAAATGAACTTCTTACATTGTTCTGTCTCACTCAAACATGTACATTGTTCTTTCTAACATATTGAAGCGCCATCTTTTGCAAAATCTGGCACTGCTAAATGCAATTTTTGTTCTGTGTCCTAGCTAAGCGAATTACGAATTACTACAAATTGCAGTCGTAACGATATCTTTTCTTTTATGCTTTCAATCATAGCTCAAAAGGCTTTGTATTATTCGTTTATGTAATCCGATGCGTGCAAGCTACTCATTTTGTACATATGAGCTATAAAACTTTTATATTAACGAAATGTTTACGTCAGGTAGTAGCTGTACGATCCGAAAAAAAGTAATTTTTTAATTTTTTTCGGTTTTACTACAAATTTGTAGCTGGCGCGCTTATATTTTGTATCTATTTCAACCCTGTAAAAACGTTTTCAATTCCGTTCAATCATTTTGGAGTTATCGTTACGACTGTAATGTGCCAGTAATTCCGACCTTCCAGCATCGCCTTAAGATTCAGTACAGTGTATATTATCTACCATAAATATAAATATATTTTTTTGAACCCTGTGTATATGTATGTAACTAGATATAATGTATCTAGTTTAAGTATGGACATTTATTTTTCAAAATTAAACAGTTATAAAGAATAAGTATCTAGAAACCGTGGAATGTTAACTAACAATTGAGAACTAATTTAAAACTCCACATACGGTAAAGCGGATCTAGGTGCTTCCATATAATTTTTAATGTGAATTTTACAATTTTCGGTTCATATAACACCACGTGGCCGCAAATTTCCTCCGCAGCTCCGAATCGAATAGTATGTAATATGAAATATCACACTTAAATTGCCGAAGGCAATCTAATAAATTGATGCTCAAAGCATCCAGTACTTAAAAACCCCCCTCTTTCACGACGTTTAATAAATGCTAAATTACATCTATACGAACCATTCTTACCGAATCTGTAAAGAAATTTATTGCGAAAAAATATCATCCTATATTCTCAGCCAGGAATCAAATCCGGATTTCCACGTTTGCCGGACAGGCGTCTTGCCTTTAAACCACCGAGGCATGTGATAACATTCATCGCAATAAACAATCCAGCTATAAAGAATTTTTTGAAAGTTATTTTGTTTAAGATCTATATAATGACTTAAATAAAAGTTTTAAATTTTTAAAAATGTTTTTAATGAGTTTTATATTTTTTAAATCAAAATAATATATCTATTTTATTTTATTTTATGAAATATTTTATGAAAAAGAGAAAAAGAAAAAGAAATTAATGCGCAATGAAGTGATAGTATCTCATGAACAACTATCAAAGTTACATTGTATTATATATTATTGAATTTGTTATAAAATACTTTACAAAACTGTAATAAAATATATATTATTTTATTAAAATTAATAATTAACTCATCTATATCACTCAGTATATTATATAGATTATATAAATTTTTTTAAACAAAACATAGATTATATAAATTTTCTTAAACAAAATATTTTATTGGAAAAATGTTTTTAAAACTTTATTAAAAAATTTAAAAAATAATTGAATGTATATATAAACCAGCATATATTATCAATATCGGCAGTTCCGAAGAATCATTTTATTATCAATGCACCTCAGCCTCAAACTAGCCCTAAACATCTAAACAAAGGCTATATCATTATAATTATAACTATTATAAGTAACAATTCTGATCGAATTTGCTGCCAATCTGGCATACTGCGGACAATTTGCTTACTTGGTTGTATTGCCAGTAAAAACAGAACATATACAAGCATTCCAATATTTACCCAGATAGCTAAATTTGTCGAAAACAGATCTTGTTACAAACTTTGTTGAGCTAACAAACTTAATACAGAATTTGATTCATTAGATAATGACAATACGCTACTAGCATATAATAAAATCTGCTGACATAATGCTGATAATTTGACATTAAATTGTTACAAAAAATCGAATAAAATTTGTGTAGCACTCTGACAACAAATCTGACAACAAATTGTCACCAGAAGCCGAGCAAGCTTTGCGTAGCGTTGTCTGATTTATCTGACGACAACTTGTCTCCAGAAATTGCAAGCAAGCAGGATCTCCGTCACTGAGTATTTGCAAGACTATCGCTGGATAGCGTTTGTTGGTATCCGTTTCTCGTATTTAAAATTTCTCGAACTCTTTATATAATCAATATGTAGTCGAAGCTCAGCATGTCATAATTATTTGTGCATTATTCATGTGTGTACTTACAATTAATACGAGATATGAATAATATTTATGCATCAAAGAAGAATAATATGCACAGTACTTAGAAAATGGTCACTGATGTACAGAGAACAAGGGCGAAGATTTTTGTAATATCTTTAGATTAGGATATTCTCGGAATCAAATGCTTCAATATAAACTATATTTTTATTAATAAAACAGTTTAAAACTATTCTTTTAAAATAAAATTAAAAAAGAATAACCTCATTTTTCAAGACTTTAATACCAATGCCATCACAATGTATCGTCAGACAATGCTAAACAAAGCTTGCTCGATTTTTGGCATCAATTTGTAATTAGACAACGCTACGCAAAAGCTTACTATTTTTATTATCGATTTGCTATCTAGTTATGTACGCGGGCTTTGCTAGCAAGACATAAGTTTATAGCTGACACAGATTTATCACCAACCTTTTAACGAGTTTTATGCCAACTTGGCGACAATTTGCTATCAATTTGATTACTGAGTAAATTCTTTGATCTGTGAAAATAATATAAAAATTGTGTGGCTGAATCTGTAAACTGTTCTTATGACTAAAAATCAATATCATAAGCTTATCTTTAAAACCTCTCTCTAAATTATTCTCTCAATATTCTGAATACTAACATTCATGTTCGTTTCACAGAACGGTTTCGACGGTGCTCGGTTTGACGGCATCCCGCAGTCGGTGTTGCCACCGCCGCCGCCCGGAGTGGCCGCGAACGCTGCGCAACTGGCCGCGATGGCCGGCCACAGTGTAGCCCTCTCGCAAAAGAAGGGCTCGTTCCTGGGAGGAGGAACGGAGGGCGGTTATACCTTTTGGTAAACCACCTAAACCACCTTTCGTAACATACATACACGCAGAAAACATATACATTCACGTACACGCCACATTAACTGTCGGAAGCGCCGTATTGTTGAGATGACGAGATTATGTAGGTAAATTTCCGTTAGAGCTCTGCTTTCTTCACCTCTGCCGGTGGCAGCTTCATCGATACCTATTAGTATATCGTGCGCGGACTGATCACACACACACACACACACACACACACGCACACACACACACACACGCACACACACACACACACACACACACATCCCAACATTTTAACATGAGGCAGCAATCGTGAGAATTCCCACGCGATTCACATACGGCGATATTTGCGATCGATAGAAGCGATCCAATGATCTCAAGGACACCGCCGCAGTCTTGGTGATCGATCTGCGCATCTCATGTACTGTTGAACTGCAGAAAATCGTCCCGGCCGAGGAAGACTCTGACATAACAATGCTTGTCGAATATCCTCGAAAGCTAATTCCTTGTTCTTCGAAAGTTCATCGTTCTGTGGAGAAGTCGGGAAGCAGTGAGAGAGCGCTACGCGAGTTTTGAAAGATCCACAAAGATCCGAAAGCTCCGTGAAAGCCTGAGATCCGAGGTACCGAGAATCCATGATGATTATAGGACTTGAGGAAACGCCCGTTATTTTGTATCGTGGATCCAGAAATTCTAAATTTTTGCAATCAAATTTTTTCAAAATTCAAAAAATCGCAGAATTATCGGACCGAAGAAAATGTACATCCCGAGTTACATAAATTTGAAATTCGAAAAATCGAAGGACTCGAGGTTTCAAATTGAGAATCTCAAAATTAATGCTTTGCAATATTCATGAAACTCTGGCGTTTCCAAAAATCCATAGATCTGCGAACTCAGAGACTCAAATTGCCATGATATAAGGCTTTAGATTTAATACTAAAGATACAAGCTCTAGTTGAAGGAAATGATGTAGTGACTTATCTATGATCTCGACTTTACCAGGATTCAAGGTATCCAGGATCTAGCTTTAGTGGCTTCTATTAGTTAAGATTACAGAGATTCGAAAATTTTAGTTAAATTTTCTTAAATTTAATCACCGCATCAAGCATTTTCGATGAGGTAAAATATTAAGGATCATACATATGTAAGTTTCCGAGGATCTGTCTTCGGCAAACCGCGAATTTGGGAAAAGAGGGGAGGGGTCCACGGTGTCGAAAGACCCGAAGGCTCGAAGACAGTCAATGTGCGTTTCTCACGAAGAATAGTTACTGCGAGAATGTTATTTTAAGACGGACAAACTTTAGTTAGATCAACGAAAGGCGGACTGACAAGAAACGACACTGTCGTTGCGCTCATTGAAGCAGAAAGAAGAAAAGGATCACATGGATAGAAAGAGAAAGAGAGAGAGAGAGAGAGAGAGTGGAAGCCTTATGTCGACGATTATAGAAATTCACGAGACATATTGCGTTGATATTTATATTTAAATTATTGTTATTTAAACAATTTATTTGCAGATCCTCCTTAGAGACAGAATCATCGGTGCGACGTGTTTCAACGATTTATTTTATATCTCGAAAGAGTGCGAACAAGAAAAGGGAGTGAAAGAGAGAGAGAAAGTGGAATGAGTTTTATATCACGGAAAAGCGTGCAATAAGCGTATAAATCTATTATAACAATAAAAAAAAAAAACAATATTAATTGAAACTGTGAACTTGTTATCACGTTGAATGAGTGAGAAAATAAGAATGCGAGAGAATATATGTGCGCGTGTGTGAGAATGAATGTCAAAAAAAAAGAATGAATAAGTGAAAGAAAAAGTGAACGAGGGTAAACAATGAGTTGAGACAAAAATGTACCACTACGCGATGATCAATTGTACCAGTTAATAAATACTATGATCATGCAATTCGTTAATCGGAATTTGTTTTCTTTTGGTAAGCGACGATTTCTTTACTTTACACGTAAAAACACGTGAAAAAAACTAATTTTTAATACAGAATAGGACATAGTGATAATGACGCCGCTTATTCGTTTTGTGCCGATCATTTTATTTATTACAAATGGCATTTATTACAAATTGTACAAAAATATATTCTCTAAAAATATAATTTAATCCCTGAAACATACGATATAATTTCCTGCGATTACTACCTATAGTTTTGATTGCAGCATTATTATTTATACAAAATATGAAATTTTTGAATTCTGAGAAACCTTCTAATTTATAAATTTTACAATTTTACGCAGGCCTCTTCGTAAGGGCTTCCTTTTGATGCGCATTCAACTGTGTGATACCAATGACTTTGGGTATTTGATCTTGAGTCAATTCTAATTTCAACAATGCATCCAGATTCTGAATCTCATGTTGCGCCTTTCGTAGACTCTGAAGAATTTGAATTTGAAAGAGATATCTTTTTTTAACATCTACTATACAGGGTGTCCCGAAATTCGCGAATCAAAGTATCATAGCAAGAAAGTCTTCGAAAAATTAAATAAAGTTATTTGTAAATTTTTATTTTAAGCAATAGTTTTTGAGATATAAGGGTTTAAATTTAGCCAATTACAGATTAGTATTCGCATGAAATGCGCGACCACTAACACTATCGACGCGCTCATGGACATGTTTCCGTTTAAATCACAATATATAATTGGCTAAATTTAAACTCTTATATCTCAAAAACTACTGCTTAAATTAAAAATTTACAAATAACTTATTAATTTTTCGAAAACTTTCTTGCTATGATATTTTGATTTTCGAATTTCGGGACACTGTATATCGATATTATCCACCTTACCAGTCGTAGTTCTTTGTCTGCTTGAGGATCCATTTTGGCAAGTTTCTTTTTCTGCAAAAATTCTTGTACAGTGAATCCAAGAAAATCCTCCAGAATCTAAAAGCATTTCAATAATTCGCATTTATTAAAGACATGGACGAGGCCTTTGCTATTTTTAGACACAAGTGAGAAAAAAGATTCTCATGATTTTTCTCTTTCAACGTCATAAATTGATGCAATGAGATACTAGAAAATCGTCCTTCTCATGTACCTCAGAATCGAAGCAGACTTCTACACTGGAAGTGTGATCCGTGATCAGTGCCGTTACCGACCAGCATTTACCCTGTTTCGTTAACGCCGAATGGCTCTTCACTTGACCTCTCACTGTTTTATATATTTTTCCCGTGATAGGTTCGCATAACACATCGCTCAGATTATCGCAGATTTTGGAAGCTGATGGAGGTTCGAAAAAGTTAGGAATAGTTTTAGTCTTCGGCACTTGTATTGCCCTCAAAGTGTTGACCTTTGATAAAAAAATATAAAGTTAAATAAAAGAAGAAAACATGAAGTTTTAATTAAAAATATAAAAACCGTTTATAGTGAGAAACACTATATAAATAATATATACCATTGATTTCTCGTTTTGTGCCGTTTTTATGAATGTACATTTCTTAACTTCCACTGAAGCATTGCATTTCATCAATTTTGTAGGCATTACTGACGAAGGACACATTTCGGTTTTATTCTTTAAAGGATTTTCATTTTGTTGGCTGAAAAATGTTGAATAAAAAAATAAATAATGGATATGAGACATAAATATATATTGAAAATGAAATGAAGATGCATAGAGATGGACAGAGAACCTCTGCGATTCCTTCGTTTTAATTATAATGTCGCAATCATCGAAATCAAAATCGTCATCCGGAAATTCTGAAAAATTTTGATTCTGAATAGAATTCGTAAGATGTGGTGATTTGTTACAAAAATCTCGTGTGGATGTTGACGCTTGTTCAATTATCATTACATCATCCTTTTCGTCAATTTTCTTAGTCTCCATTCGCGATACTCGTGAGGGCCTTGGGGGATCACTGGGCCTATAATAATTGATTGCTATAGTAAAATTAGATAGCAATACACAATTACAGCTAAATAAAATTTATTTTTATCATCAGGAAAATTATGAATTCTAAAGCAAATAAAAATTTATATATATATATATGCATGGTCTGTCCCAAAAGTAATAAGACTAATTTTGGAAAAACCGTTTTATTGAAAATACACTTATTTTTCAAAGTACAATCCTTGAGCGTCAATACAGCGTTACACTCTTCGTAGCAGCGCAGGAAGTCTTGAGTAGTCTTGACCGGATACCGTTTTGGGACAATTAAAAAGCCGACGAGTGTTCTGGAAGACATGTCCGGACTTCTTGCGCTGATATGAAGAGTGGTAGGAATGTTGGAACCACTGTATTAACACTCAAGGATCCTACTTTGAAAAATATTAAGTATATTTTCAATAAAGCGGTTTTTTCAGAATTAGTTTCATTACTTTTGGGACAGACCATCAGGGTTGCCACAAATTCTTCATTCTAAAATTCCATGACTTTTCCCTGACTGCCAGACAAAATTTCATAATTTTTCCTGACTTTCGATAATATTAAAAATTTTTTTGTATCGTTTTTTTTTATATGTTCGTTTGAAAACTATTTGGAAACCGTTAAATATTTTGTTGAGAGATTTAACATAGCAATATAAATTACTATTACTGTTGTTGACATTGCTTGCATTTAATTGTTAAGTTGTTAATATTCTTTTATTATCTTTTTCTTTTATATATGCGTACATGTCTTTTCCTCTGCTTACAATACAAGAAACATGTAAATATAGATTCTTTTTGATAAAAACTAAATCCTGTTTATTGGAATCTCCGACTTGCTATTATACAAAGATTTACAAACTTGAAAGAATTATAAAAATACGAAGTCAATTTTAATTTTATTAATTTGTTTCCAAATGACACAAGAAACTTACAAGTTAAAAAAAAAAGTTTTAAATAAATTTAAAACTCCAACAAAAAGTAGACAAATTGAAAATTTTAATGCTCTTAGTGAAGCATTTTAAATCTATTAAAAAGAGTTTACATGACCTAACAAAACTGTATAAGTTTGTGATATATACGCATATTAAATTTCTTTAAAGCTAAGAATTTTTATTGTCCAAAAAATTTTGTACAATTTCCTGACTTTTCCTTGATTTTGCCGATTTCCAGTTTTGTAACAACTCTGATATAATCCATTTTAATCCATCCAGTCGAATATCTCGAAAATCAAGCCCGGGAGAGAAAAATTTTTCAGACAAAAGTTGTTTGGTTTCGAAGAGACCATAAGATGGTACCATTGGTTTGACCTTGAAGAATTATTTAAATGTCGCATAAAAGTCACTTCAATTTTTTTAAACGGTTTTCCCTATTTTTTATTACATATTCTTGTAGCTGACCTCGAGAGCTTTCCAAAACACTATAATCAAATGTTTCTTTATTGAATACTTTT